AGAAACATTTCAAATTCACTTTTTGAGAGATTCATAAAGTCATTATTTTTAACATTAAACTTTATGAAAATCAGGAGAATATTAAAAGGTATAAAACTTTAAATTTCAATATTCGATTTACATAAATTTTTTGTTTTATTCAAAAGATAATCTTGGAATATGATTTCTGGCATATGATTGCCTCGACTGGCTCGGATGTAGTCCAATCTGGACGTCCAATTTCCAAATACCTTTTCCATTTGTGGCTGTATATCGGCTATAACGTGGCGAATGTTGTCTTCCAACTGGCCAAGCGTTAGTGGCTTTTCCGAATTGACCAATGACTTTACATAGCCCCGCAGAAAGTAGTCTAGCGGTGATCTCACAAGATCTTGGAGGCCAAGGCGAAACGTATCCTTCAAGAAATCATTATTTTTGAAATAAAATTGCACTATTTTCAAGCCTTGTTCAGGGGTGAGTCTATTTATGATGATTTGCCGAGTCAAACTGAGAATAAATCACTTGACAGCTGTTAAATCGGTTGCCATCTTGAACACTAAAGCCAACTTTAAGCTCTGTACCTCTAAAAAACCAACACCCTTTATATGAGCTGTAGTTATGACTTAAACTTAAAACTAATATTTGAAATGCAGTTGACAAATCCAAGCTCTTTCCCGACTTTCACCAATTAATAACCATTTGAAAGGCACACAACAAAGAAAGTTTGCGGCTTGGAAAACCCTAAAAAAAAAAGCCCTCCATGGCCAGCATAAAATTGAATTCCCTTCAGCTTGTGCATATTCAAACATCTCTTTTATTTGTTCGGTTTGTCGATCAAAAAAAAAAAAGCAGAAAGAAAGCGGAAAACCCGGAGATAAAAAGGAAAGCACTAAAACCAGCCAGAGGCATTTCAAGATGCTTCTTCTTCTACTCTCTTTCTCTGTATGTATGTGTGTGTGTGTGAGTATCTGTGAATGCTTCGATTGAGTGCGCAATCTTCAAAGGCATACCAACCAAGTTGCAAGCCCAGGAAGAAGCCACATTTCACTCACCCTCCGAACGAAAACCTAACATTATATATATTTTTTTATTAATTTGCACTTTTATAGTTGACAAAGGGGGCGTGGCTGTTGGCTGTTGGCGAGGTAAACATTTGGAAAAACTGCAGTCGCTGGCACTTATCGACATGCCGCACACTTGAAATTGAACGAAAGCAAATATTTTTACTGCACAACAAAACGAAAACAAAAGCAAAACCAAAAACAACAACTGCACCGCATACCTAATAAAAACCGATGCCACACCCCCTAAAAGAGGGCGGCGTTGGCTGCGGTTTTCACTTTCTGTTCTTACAATAGCAGTCAAAACTTTAGGAGTGCTTTTTGTTTATTTACAAAAAAATAAATTTAAATAACTTTTAAAAGTTTAACAATTTTAAATCACAAAAATAATGACTTTAAGTTTTGGGTAGAGTAAAGATATATTAAAAAAAAATGTAGAAAATTTTAAAAAATATATCTCAAAATGTTCGATCCTTGAAACCATTTTCCTGATTTCTAAAATCTAAAAAAGAAACGAAATTTCACATCCTTTATAACTTCTAACTTCTAACTTTTCATTTTAGTAAAGTTGTTTTTTTTACTTACCACTATTTCGTTGACCTCAGCTGTTTGCGAGTGTGTGAGGAGCAGCATGCAAAAATATTTGCACTTGACTGGCGGCTGCTGCTGCCGCTGCTGTTGCAGCGGAAACGGAAACATGACACCTGCGCAGCCACACACACACACATTTGCAGAAGCACATAAAGGGGAAAAGGGGATATGGGGTTAAGAGGAAAAGGGTAGGAGAAGGATAAGAGAGGGAGAAAAGGATAAGAGGGACGAATGCAGACAGCGCTGGGCAAACAAACGCAAACCGAGCCGAGATAAACAGGAACTTATTATGCGAACTCATGCAAGATGAGGCTGTTGGGCGGTGGGCGGCAAATAAGTGGGCGCGGCTGCGTGGCAAGGAGTACAAGGGTATATGGGGTAGTAACACTGCAATTGCAACTGGGTTCGGTTGTTTTGTGCTCTATCTGAAATTACACGGACAACAATGGCAATCCAGTCAGAGGCACACTCACAGGCACCCCACAGCCCGCAAATGCCTTGCCACTGTCATCCTCTTGTTTATTGTTATGTTTGCCAATTGCCAGACCACAGCTGCCACGCCCTCCGTAGTCAGTCCTACAGCATCCGCCACCCCCCCCACTAAATGAGGCATGTGTTTTCACACCTTGACCCCAGCAGGTGGCATCGAAATAAAAACCAAAACAAAAACCGCAAAAAGCGATTAAGGGTAAGACTCGAAGAGATGGATACTCAGCAGTGGAAGTTTGCTAAGACTTAATAAATAAAGTTTAGCCATGGCATTTTGAATAAATTCAACTTGCTATTGCTTAAACAGCCTTCAGACCAAAACTAAAAATAAATTCATAGATTAATTTTCATATAAAAACCCATGAAATAAATCAATATTTTAAAAACTAAAAACAAAACCAAAGAAACAGTCATTTTAGCAAGTTTTTTTAGGTGCCCAAATAATCAGCAGCTGTATAAATCTAGCCTAATCTGCCAAATCGTTCCGGTTGGTCTAGCATGCACTGCTTGCGCATATCCGTTCACCCTGTTGGGCAAGCAGTAGGTCGAGTAAAAAGTGTTGCCTGCATTTGGGCGCTGTTTGCGATTTATTTTGTTAGAAATTCATTTGTTTTTCCGCCCAACAGCTGTCGCATCATCAACACACAAAACCGTTTTGTTTGTCCCACAAATAATTTAGACATTTACGTGAAAATTCAGCGCCAGCAGCTGATAATAAAGAGACGAGAAAAAAAAAAAAAAAAAAAAAACGAGAATAAAAAATGAGGCCAAAGGGCAGGGGAAAGCGAGAAAAATTGAGGGAAAACTTTTGGTAAATTAAAGCCAAACAAAACGTCAGATGCCAGCTGCACATGAATATATATTAGACTTAATGCATTTCGTCAACATTTTGCTCACAATGTGAGAAAGATGCAAACGATGCCAGAGACATAAAACGCAGAAACCCGAAAAGAATGCGAGAATGCAAATCCACTCGAGTGTGACGAGAGAAAAGATGAAAATGGGAATGGGAATGTTAAAATGGGAACAAGAAATAAAAAGGAAGCCATAAACAGACAAAGTGAGTGTCAGTAGAGGACGAACGAAGGCGAAGACTTAGGGAAAACCCAAGAAAATTCCGATCCAAGTAAATTAGTTAAGTTAACTGGAATTTTAAGTTTTTTCTGGCTTGCCAAAACCCTGCATAAATATTTTTTAAAATATTTTTTAAACTTCTCATAGCTATAAACTTTTTTTTTCGATTAAATTTGTGCCCGGGGATTGTTGTTTAGGCAAAATAAAACAATGCAAGTATAAGCGCTCGACTTTGACTCTCCAATTTTGGCTTAAATGAAAATGCATTTGCCCACGTATGCGTGTGTGTGTGTATGGCGTAAGCCAGCGAGCAAATTAAAAACTAACGCCAAAGGCAACGACAACTGCAGGCCGTCGTCTGCAAGCCAACCACCCACTTTTCCCTGCCCCTTCATGCATTTTTTACCCTTTACTCTCCCTCCTTAGCCCGCTCTCCTTTTGTTCCCAGCTGGAAACCTGCTTTTTGGACGCTTAGCATGGCCAAACAATTCAACGCCCTTGCCTAGGGAAAATCCCTACATCCCGCATCCCTTCCATCGTCCACTGAATTTTCCCCCACACTCTCACTCACTCTGCCCTCTTGCCCCGCCCGTTTTCCGCTGCCTGGTTTCATGCATTTTTAAGCAGCCATTTGTCAAGCGCGTGAGCTCAACTCACCGAATTTTCTGCAGTGTGTGTGCAGTCCGCTGCATAAGCACTCGAAGAAAATTAACAAATTTACGTCTAAGATAGTTTTATAAATGAAAAGCAATTACTAATATTTAATAAAAGTTCCTAATAAAAATCTCAAACTCTGTGATTTGTCCCACCTTCCAGCTTCTTCTTTAACAAGCTTGCCCCAAATTGTTTCGAGTGCAGTTAAAAGTAGTCGCTGTGTTCGTGTGTGAGGTTAAAACTTTTAATTAACTAAAATTGAGGCGCCTCGACCACAAAGAACCTTTTTTTTTGCCGCTCAGCATTGAAAGGCAACCACACCGACGCCGAAGTCAAAGTCAGAGACCGAGAGAAAAGCGCCTTTTACCTTTTTTGAGGAAACCAACCGACAGCCACTGATAACCCCGCCGCCCCCCTTGACACCTACCATGCCATGCCCATGGAGGTGACTCGAAAAAGAAGCGAAAACTTTCGACAGGCAAAGTACAAGATACTTAAGGCAACTGGCAAGTCAATTCAAACACTTCGAGCGACTCAACAGATCAAAATCGCGTGTGTCGCTTTTTAGGCAAAGAACAAGGAGGGAGAGGTGTATAGAAGGCGGGGTGGTATGCTTACGAAAAGGACTTTCAAGGGTTTTTCTAGGAGGGCGGGCAATGGCAAAGCCTGACTGAGGACATGCCCCAAAGGCAACCAGCGTATTCATGCTGCGCGAAGCTTGTGGATTTGTCGTACATCAGACAACTGCTCCGGGAAATTTAAAAGAATTTGTATTTCGTGTGTTCTGCCTTTAGACAGTAAAAAAGAAACCAAACAAGTCTTTCTCCAACAACTGAAGGTTCTTAGAATATGTTTTAGGAAAAGTTCAAAGGAGATAACAAGCCGGCAAGCTGCCAAACTAAGGGTTTCACGATTTATTAGAAATTTAAGAAAGTGTTTTTGGCTGATTTAATAAGAGAACAAAATGAGTTAATCTAAGGATTAGCATTTGGGATATATATTAAAGTATTTCTTCTTTATTTTTTTAACATTTATAAAAAAGGGATGTATCTTAAAGTTGTTCCAAAAGTTAAGCCATATCAATAAGGATTTTTTCATATTTTTAAACTCAATCTTTGTAGCTCATTTAACCCATTTAATTTAAACTTACAGATTCGGAACTGGAAGAGTTTGAGACGCCGGCACGGTACAGACCAGACTCGCTAAGTGCACTGAGCCGAGCCACCCGCTTTACGGAGGACGAGATCAAACGAATTTATCGGGGATTTAAGGCTGAATGCCCGACGGGCGTCGTCAAGGAGGACACCTTCAAAGTGATCTACTCGCAGTTCTTTCCACAGGGAGGTTCGTGCGGTACAGTATACTTTGTTTCGTTAACCCTTTTGACTTGAACTAGTGATTACTAACGCCTGCCTTACTGTATCTGTATGCTCTTATCTGTTATCTGCATTAGCGCCATTGCATAGCTATAGCTATCGAGCTATCGTTATCGATATTTAGCACTTATCGGTCTCACAAGCTAGCTAGCTAAACAGTACAGTCACCACCATCACAAACATCGTGTAGTTCGAGTTGCAACATCCCGATCTCGTTCTAGATGTGTTCGTGTGCCTTCTGCGTTCGAGTTTCGTGTTAAACTAACTTAGCATTTAATGTTGACTTTGCCACTTAACTACTTAGTACCTACTACTACTTAGTACTTAGTTCTTAGTTGTGTTTGTGTTTTTGTTGCTTTTCTGTATTCCATATCAATGTCTGTGTGAGAGTCTCATCACTCATTTCATATTTTGAGTTGGGTATTGAAGCCACCTTTTAGTTAGTATTTTAGTTTATATTTTATGTAAATTCCAACTTTAAAGTTTATCAACCCAAATATCACAGTTAAAGGCAGAAACTTAACAGCAATCGATGAGAATTTTAAGGGGGGGCGAAAGCGGAAACGGAAAAGCGGAATTCGAATGGAAATGGAAATGAAAATGAGAGTTACGATTAGCAAAGGACCACAAAACAAATGGCAATTGACTGGAGATTTCCCACCGACCCAAAAACACTTAGCCCCTTTCCTATTTGCCCCAAAAAAAAAAAAAAGAAAAAAGTCAACCCATTGATAAAACTGTATGAACCCAAAGAGTTGCCAGTGGCTGATCATCGGGGATGGGTTTTGGGATTTGGATTGAGCCCTAGAACAGAGGGAGAACCAACGATAGAGAGAATGGCGGATGGCAGGGTGGGTGGAACAGAGGACCAGAGGACCAAGGATGATGCTAATGACGATGATGCTGGACTATATTCAGCTTGGCCAAAAGGCGACTCTTTGTTTGGCCGGGCTGGGAAGCTGGCCCTTCTGGCTTCTGAAAATATGAAATGCAGAAAGCAAATTAGCAAAAAAAAACAAAAACCATAAAAAGCAAAATCATGTTTCACAAGTCGCGGTCGCGGAGGGGGCGTGCCAGCCAAGCCACCCACTTGACCTCGTTTGAACAACAAGTGAAATTTTTTCTGCATTTCTTTTTTTTTTCTGCCCGTCCGTGCACAATTTACATTTACATCTGCAAAGGCTGAAACTGAAGATGAGACTGAGGATAAAAAAGAGAGAAAAAAAAAGGAGGAAGGAAGAAGAAAGAAGGAAGAAGAGGATGGATACTTTCGGTGGCCGGTAACTAACTGAATTCCTGATAGATTACTGCGGGCAAGGGTCGGCTGCGGGCTGGGAATTCGGGATAAGGGTTCGTTCGTTTCCCTGCCAAACGGAAAATGTCAAAGAAATGTAAAGAAAACTCTGGCCAAAGGGTTCATTACTCAACCGAAATATTATGTCCCTTTCGTGGCTAATTTTGTTAAGAGCAAAATTAGACGTTTTCTGACTTTTTTCTATTAGATTAAATGCGACAAATCGCTGGCAATAAGCTTGCGATTTATTTAAAGCCATTAACATGAGAGACCATGGCTGATATTAAATTACAAAAGGTTGTAAACTGGCTGAAAAGACTTTTGTCTTAAGCTTTTCCTTTGGCGGAAAATTCCCAATAATTCTCATTGATTGCCAGAAATTGCTGGGAGAATTCATACACACCTCGGCCATGAGCCATGGCCCATAAATTCAGTTTAGGGAACATTTGTACTGCCTTATAAATCCAGGGCAGGAAAATATATTGCTACACATGTTGCGACACTGAATTATTATAATAAACTTATTTTGACTAGCGACAATGGAGGCTAACATTCGCCCATTGACAGGCGGAAACGGAAACGAGAAATTCCCAGTAAAACACGGGGGCTTATGTACATATCCTGCCCACTCCCCTCCCCCTCAATCTCTCTTATTCTTCATCATGTCTGCCGTTATCTGATGAAAAATAAATAATGAAATCATTTTTTATTTTGATAAGCTGCTTTGCCACACACACACACACACGCACGGACTCGGCGTAGGAGGAAAAAAAATCATCATCAAAGTTGGTGATTTATCACTTTGCCTGTTTCCCTGGTTTTCTTCTCTCTCTCTCCTTCTCTTTTTTTTTGTTTTTCGCGCCGCTTTTCTTTTGGCAAATTTCTGCGCAAATTTTATAACAATTTTTACATGGCACATTTGCAGTCATTTTTGATTTGGCAGAGGAGAGCAGAGGAGCAGATGCCATCTTTGCCATTGAGCTTTGACCTTGTGGGCGTGGCACTCTGCGTCATGCGTCATAAAAACACATTAAGCATCAAACAGCCACAATAAATTTGAACAAATAAATTTATACAGCCGCACTGTACGTGCATACATACAGTGCGATTCATGGCTTTAAGGTGCTAAAAAAAAGTTTAAAGTTCAAGGCGCTGCTTGGATTGGATTCAAATGGTAATCTCAAGGAATCTAAATAGTATAGCAGAGATAATCTTTTTAATAAGCTTTAAGCTATCAATAAGGCGTAAGAGAAATAGGGTATCTACCCAGTAAGCTTTTGATTTAAGGAAATGGCAGAAGTTAGTCGCTAATATCTGAACACAAGTCAGTAGTAAACTGGTTCCCAAATTGAGTTATCGACTGCAAACAGTAAATGCAACAAAATTCGCCAATAGCCTGAACTTTCACTTTATGGCCCCCGCGATTCGCGAAGGACTTTTCGGGGGCATCAAGGCGGGCACCGAATGGCATTTGATGCTGCTTTATGAAGTGATGACTTGCCAAGGGGGCCGTCCTGCTTCCTGCCGAAAAAAGGTGTAAACGTTGTGAGTGTATTAAACCAGAAAAAAAAAAACAACAACGAACTTTGGCATCAAGCCATAAACATAAACGCGAATCGTAAAAAAGTAGCCGAGCAGCAAGTGAGAGAGGCAAGGGCAATAATCAAAATGTTATGTGATGGCCAGATAAAGAAATTGTTCTGACAGCGCGAATGGTGGTGGCGGGTACACTAAGTGCGCTAAGTGCTCTTGGCGAAAGTCGGCGAACGCGATAACAAGGCTGGCAAAAAGGGGAAAACTTCCGACAAACTCACAATGCTCTCATAAGTAGGCAACACTTTTTTCCAAAATTAGTTCCAAGCAGTGTGAGCAAGCAGTGCTTATCAGTAGACACAGGAGACACTCGCATAATTAGCTGCAAACTGTTTCCCTTCCCACTTTTGGTTTTCTTTTACCCTCCGACCCCACATCCGGTGGAAACTTTCGGCAACCCCAAGTCCCAAAAAATGTTGACTTTTCCACTGATAAACAGCAAAGACAAAAAGCACAAACACACACACACACACACAAAAAGAAATAGCTGCAACCGAAACGAAAACATGGAAAAACTTTTGCGGTTGACAAAACTGAAAGGAAAAGCGAAAGTTTCTGAAACCCAAGACGAAGACGACCCACATAAAAGTTGCCAAGCTAGAACAGGGCACCAAAACTCATATCTTTCTACTGGCCAACTATCGAACCGTTATCGCTTTCTTACACGGAAAGAAAAGTTAATTAATAAAGGACAACTCCTTAAATAGTTTATTATGAAGAGGTTGAAAGGATTTTGTATTGAAATAAACACATTTTTGTATAATTTTGGTCAGGAAATTTAAATTTATTACTTTTTTTTATCAATCACCATAACCACAAGATTACCTTTATCTTTTTCACTGTGTATGTGAACTCATATGTGTTAATCTTTGTGTAAATGTCTGTGTATTTGTATATCTAGAGTTCATTTGATAATGTTACCAAAAGTTGAACCGCTTCAGTTGAGACCTAATTGGTCGACTTTTGCCAGCTTACAGCTAACCCATGGAATGTTCTTATTTAACGCCCTTCTTATCTTGCTTTCATTCAAACCCACAACGTCGACAATGCGCCACCACCCACATAAACAGCCAATCCAACCTTATATGCGCACTATGTATTTAACACACTGGATCAGGATCACAGCGGCATTGTCAGCTTCGAGGTAAGTTTTATTATTATTTTACTTTAAGAAAAAGGCGGAGGTTTATCTAATAATCCCTTCTAATTAACACTGCCTTAAACCATCTTTATAAGTAACAGTGATGGCTAAGAATATTTTAAACAAGATATAGTAAAATCTAAAACACTTTTTTCCAATATTTTTCCATTTTGATTAACAAATAGTTACCCATCCTTGGCCCTAATGACATCCAAAAATTCTGTGTGCCTTGTAGCCAGCACTGCTTTTCATTTCTGTGAAAATTCTTCTGATACCCTACTACCCCTCCTCCACCGCCTCACAGTATGCGACATCAAAGTAAGGCCTGTGGCTATCTCAGACTATGAGAAATGCAATGGGAAGCATTTGAGCAGCTCATTTCCGTGTGCGATGTGTGTGTGTGTGTGTAAATGTGTGTGTGTGTGTTTTGCGTCCTGGCCAGGTCGTCTCTTCATCTCAATCTCAATTCCAATGAAGACCAACTAATGGAGTTCGGCCGTTTGTATGGCCCTAAGGCGAAATTGGGATTTAGATTGGACCATCATCGAGACATGGAGCACTGGGAGGAAATTGAGAAATTGTCTTAGAAATCAACTTTCGTACAACAATTTGTGGCACTTACTCCTGTCTGTCGGCACCATTTGCAATTAAAGCGAACACAAGGCCAATACAAGCATAATGATGGCAAACATAGCTACCCTAATGGCTAACCATTTGTGGTAGCTTACACTGTGAAAAATAATTAATAACTAAATGTAAACAAAGAAAATGAAAGAAAAGGAAATCTTAACTTATTTGATTTGGTAAACCTCTAAATTGATTTTTACCAAAAGTATTATCTATTTCTCTCAGTGCATGTCTGTACGCCTTTTCCGTCAGATAATATTGCATACATTCAAGGGCGTTGAGAGCTGGGCAAATTTATGGCCAACTACATAATTGAGCGGACACCGAGAGTCCGGTTCCGGGGGAGTGTGGCCATAGTTTGTGATTGAATCGCTTTGCCGTTTATCGCTGGCTATCGTTATCGATAATTAATCTTGCCAATTGAATGGCCAGGCAAATGCGTACATTGCGTAGGCTGTGAGTACACGAACAAACAGGCTCCTCTTCAGCAATTCAATTTAATTTACTCGCTGCGTCTCTTAATGTCCGGACGATGATGCGGCGCAAAGTTGAAAATGTTGAGGTCACCCGGGTGATGGTGGGTGGTGGTCTGGTTTGGTGCCACATGATTCCCGAGGGGCAGAAGCGCAGACCCTGAAGACTTAAGTACAATGAAATTACTTTCGACATTTTAAGTATAAAATATGGCTGACAGCCGAGTCGAGTTGAGTTCAGTACAGTTTGCTCTTGGACAGGGTAAAAAAAAATATCAGTAAATTATTATAATAGAATATATTTTTTATACTATAAAGAAGTAAAGTTGTGCCTTGAAATTATTAAAAATTAATAGTAGTAAAGGTTAATATAATAATAGGTTTTTTTTAGAAGTTTTTCTAAGATTTATCAGCATCTCCAAGGCCTTGCAGACTTTTTAAATCAGAAACCTTAAATAAAAATAGTTAATAAACCATAAATAAAAGTTTCCTAAACTACTTTTTCAAGCATTTTAGTTTAAATCATTCAAATTATATAGATATTTACTCAAAAAGTAGATCAAATTTATCCAAAAACCTTCCCCTTTTTCTTAGTTTCTCTCAGTGCAGCTTAGAAGCAAAAGTTGTGTAGCCTCGTGAGTTTCTAAATGAAGCTGATTTGGCTTAGAGGGGTGGTAGAAAGTCGAAAGGGAGGCTTTGAAAAAAAGGGGGATGGCGCCAAATGACGCTGCAAAACGCCCCCTCAAGAAGCCAACAACAACAACAGGCAGAGCTCCAATGGGGCAAATTGGTCTGGTAAGCGCCTTTAGTTACGGTTTATTAGTGACAGCGACCAGGCAGCCAAGAACAAAGACCACCGCCAGATACATAGATGGTTAAGCGCTCTATTAACTGGCACAGCATAAAAGTTGTAATACGCAAAGTACAAACTCAGAAGCCAGACGCCCCACCGCCTGCTTTTTCAACTCCACCCACTTTATAACCCATCCATCTTAAAGGACATTAAAGTTTTGGGTACCGAAAAGTGTTTGCTCATTGAAGGAGATGCCAAAGTGAAGTTGGGGAAAAGGAAAATGGGTTACCCATGGCTAAGACTCAGCTTGGGTTCTTCTTGAATTTTTCACTAAAATATAAACTTAACTCCCAGAATCAGGCTAAGCAAGGCAATATTCATATAAAATCCACTATCTAGTTCATAAATTCTACTATAAATTCCAGCTGCATCTCTTAGACAACTTTAAATAGCAATTAAAAAGCAATCGAGTTGCATATTTTCCCAGCAAAGAGACGGAAAACTGACTTAATTTTCAGCGGTATTAGCATACTTTCAGAATTAAGCAAAACAATTATCAGCCAAAAATGGTAAAAGCTCCAATTAGATGCGGTCAACGAAAAACAAAAACGAGAAAAATGCAAAATGGAAAATATAATAGTGCAAGCAGTGCATTTTCAGAGCATTTCCTTTGCTTTTTGGCTGCTGTTTGCCGGAGGGTAAAATGAGAAAGACCACACCACGAAAAATAATGCTCGAAATTCAGAAATCAAAGAAAGAAATCAAAATGTCTCGAAATTGAAATAAAATGCCAGCGGCCAGAGGGGGGGAAAACCTATAGTTTCGCGAGTTTCTCCGCTGTCGCCTGTCATTGCCAACATTTCTATTGCAGTCAGCGGAATGCAAAACAAAATCTAGAAAATAAACCCAAAAATATAAAAAGAAAAATAGAAGCAAGAAAAACCGAATAAATTTCCTCAGATCAGGGGGAGGCAAAAGCGGGAGCCAACCCCCGTGGCGCATGCAAATTGCGAAAACATTTTTATTTTCATTTTTTCTTTTTTTTTTTGTACTTCTGTTTGCAGTTTATCCAGTGTCTTGCGATGGCTGCCTTTGCAATGTCCGAACATGAACTCCACTTCCGGTTGTCAGAGGAGTCGTCGCTGGGGGCGGGGGGAGAGGGGGTGGGGCCAGGAAACACACACAATGCCATTGAAACGATGAATTATGGCGATTTTAACGCCAACTTTGTCAGGCACTGTGACGTAATGGGCAGGGGGTTGGTGAAAGTCGGGGGAAAAACAAGGGCAAAGGCGGTAAAATAAGAGTAGGCGAGTCGAAGACACACACACACACACACACACACACACACACACACACACACACACACACACACACACACACACACACACACACACACACACACACACACACACACACACACACACACACGCACAATAGGAAGTGCAGAAAAAGAAATTCCATGGATAGCAGCTAAACAGCAAGGCAAAACCCAAGTCAAACAATGGGACAAGACCTGGGAAAAAAGGGAAAACGGAAAAGGGAGGAGAGCGTGACACGACTGAAAGTTTTTGGGATAGAAATTTAAATGAAATGTTTTTAAAAGATAAAGAGAGTATATAGATTTTCGATCTATAAATTGTAATATTATATAAACTAATAAGATAAAATGTGGCCTGAAGATTCTGATCTTCTAATGTAAAACTTACCAGGAAAATGAATTTATTACTCGCCTCGCTTGCCTTACTCAAAACGTAATCTATTTAATGACTTTAAGAAGCAATCAAAAGTACTTATCGCTCTGAAAGTAGAAAGTAATGTTTATAAATATTTGATTGGATAATTTGCAAGCCTTCATTTATGAACAGCAAAGTGCAATTTACAAATCAATATTGCTTGGTGCAGCCTCGAGTGTCTGGGCGAGGAATAATCGCAATCACGTCAGCCATGTCAGTCCATCTCTGATAGAAATGCTTTTCCTTTTGGCTTCTCCCCTCTCTCCCGTTACAACAGCTTATCTTTGCCTTTTTGCCTGCTCGCCATTTTCGTTGTTGAATAATGACCTCAAAATTGTAATGACTACGAGGCACGTACTCGATATAAAGCATGTACAAAGAAGCGCCCTTAACCCATGTTGCCCCCCTCGAGCTTCGAGCTCCTTCTCCTTTCAATGGCTGTAATTCCCTAGTTTTGTATGTGACGGTCTGACTAAGTAGACTTCCGCTTTTCAATTAAGTTCCACATATTGTTGCAAGGTGTTTTATGCGCGATTTGCATGACAGTCGCGTTTATTAAACTGCCAACGAGAGTGGAAAAGAGCGACGACGACAACAACAACAATAGGAAAGGTAATGGCTAAAGCAGGCTAACAGCAAACCTGTCAGGGCCATATTGAAATTGTGAAATTGTAAAATTGTGAAATTGTGGGCAGGGCCAATATGCCAGGGCTAAAATGGCAAAGAGTGTGTGACCTGTTTACGCTGGCAGAAAAGATAAATTGCTCAAGTGTGCGAGATAAAAGCAATCGAGTGTCGGCGTTCAAAGGGGGAAAGGAAATAAATAAAAAAAAAACAAATATATATAAAGAGAGAAAGAGGGAGAGGCAGGAGAGTCCCTAGCAACTGCGTAGAAAGGATTGTTGGTAAAGGAAAAGGACGCCTTTGGCAAGCAGTGAAGTAAAGCAACCAGGTTAACATGACACTTGAGTGCTGCAGCCAGCAGTTTGTTTTGATCACTTCAACAAACCCTGGAACAAAACCAAGAACCGATAGCAACCTGCTTGATTTTTTATTATATTTTTTTTGTTTTTTTTTTAGTTTTTAACCAACATGCTGGTCAAGGCTCTGGAGTCTTTTACAAAGCAAATGGTATCTGTGTTTCTGCTTTGATACTTAAATTAAGAGAAAAAAGTGACATTTTAAAAGGTTTTTTCAGTTCATTTAAGACTAAGAATATGTATTACAGGATTAAAGAAGAAAAATTATGGAAGAGATCCCCCATAAACCGAAGGAATATTAAAAATTTCTAACTTTTTTCCTTACAAAGTTTCCCAAGAAATGTCCTAATGGATGGACACCTCAAAGGTGTACCTCTCTGCCTTCTTTCAACATATCAAACGAACTTAAAATCATTCAAAAAATGTATCAAAATTCTAACCAAACTGATCGAATCGATGGGTCAAACAAAGTGCAGGGAGCAGTCTTTCGTTTGCCTCTTTGGGAATCCACTGGCTGGCATAATCCACTCCCATTAAGCAGTGCAGAGGCATTGGTCAGCAGGCACAGGCAAAAACCATCATAAATCCGCCTAATCACTTGGCCAGAGTGAAAACTTCACTACGAATTTTCAATTTTCAGCTTGTTTTGCCAGCTTGCCGCACTGCAATTTGTCCACGTCGAATCGGGAAAGTTTCCTGCCTTTTTTTTCGATGATTTTTGTTCCATTTCATTTCCATTTTTTTTTCTTTTTGCCATTTCAGTTTGATAAATTAGTCGAAGGCAGAAATTGCCCAAATGGCCAGAGAAAAAGACACAAATGATGCCCCTATTCCGAATCCTAGGTCCAATTCTCGGCATTACTTTTACATTTTATGCTTTTTACTTTGGTGATTTTTTGTTTTCCCATTTTTTTGGGGGGGGGGAGAGGTTTTTTTGCCCCCGGACTTTTAGCATTCGGTATGCAAAAGCAAGACTCAGTCCACCGTCAGCTGTGGCCTTCCCAAAATGCCTCAACACCTCCTGGAGCCCGGGTAAGGAGGGTGTTCGGGCTTGGGGATCGTAAAAACTTTTCCCCATTCTCCTTGCAAGTTCTTATCTAGGTACATTTGTCATACAAAGCATAGAAATAAATGTCCACTTCAGCAGAGGCAGGAACGGCAGCCGGAAATGAGGACTGTGGGCTCCCAAGGGCGGTGCGGGCTTCCATACAGCAGCGGTTAAGGGAATAGGTTTTGTGTTACATTTTTTAGACAAAATTCAATCTACTCTCTGAGATAAAAGAGTTTTGAAGTATTAGGATATAGATTTTGATCAGCTTAGATTCATTTTACAATGAAATATAAGTAGAAATAGAAATAGAAATATCTAAGCCTAAAATGATGATAAAGATAAAATCGTACCTTCTTACTTCACAGAATATACTATATAGAATCCATTACCTATTTCGCTGAACGCGAGTGTACTTAACTTGCTCCTAGTCACTGCGGTTTACGAGCAATTTCTTAAAACATATTTTCAATTTCTTTTATACCTGTAATTCCGGGTGTCTGCCTTCGCCTCCTTCTCCTTCTCCACCTCTGCCTCTGCCTTCAACAACGCCTCCCGCACCTTCCACAATACCAACGTATTTATGCCAACTTATTTCTCATCCTGTCACAGGACTTTGTTCAAGGACTTTCGATACTGTCGCGCGGCTCCGTGGAAGAGAAGCTGCGCTGGACCTTCTCGCTGTACGACATCAATGGCGACGGCTTCATTACGAGGGAGGAAATGACTGACATTGTAACTGCCATATACGAGCTGATGGGCCGACTGCCCGACGAGTGTCCCGAAGAGGAGAAGATCAAGGGCAAAGTAGAGCAGATCTTCCAGGTGAGTTTGCTAGCTTTTTCTTTTTTAGAAAATCTCAAATCCAGGACAATTCGCGACCATTATTTATGCTAATTATGCGCGTACAATTTGAATTTGACTTCGTGAACATGAAACTTATTTACTTTGCATTATGCAAATTCAAATTGTCTATTTCAATTTGCTGGCCAGCTAACTCAGGCTGGTACTGTGGCATTGGCATGGGTATTTTTTGGGGGAGCAGCCTTCGTCGGCAGGACATCATCCTGTTTGGCTTGCCAGTCACGCGTTGTCATTAGCGGTCGTTGGCATTCGGAATAAATTGAGCGCAGCAAATGCGAACGGCGAAAGCCCTTAAATAACGGCATGCGAGAGTGAAATTGATGATAGATGGCCAGGATCATTCACGGACAATTCCGAAAGTTGTCCTGGCCGACGGTTCTAAATCAAAATTCCATAGCAGGCTTTCGGGTGACGGAAGCGGAAGCAGTGAGTCAAAGCAGTGCCAATGGCAAGCAGTTGGCGATTTCAGCAAGCTGTTGCTTCGTTTTCGTTTCTCGTTTTTCATTTCATTTCATTTCAGATATTTTTTTAACTTTTTAATCAAAATTCTAATTAGAAAAATAAGATGAACTCTTATTAAGAAGAGCTTAGACCTTCTGAAATTAAACAACAAAATATTTATCAAAATGAAGTTAAATTTTATATTATTCTTATTCAACTTTTAGAAAATGGACACCAATCGCGATGGCGTTGTGACGCTGGAGGAGTTCTTGGAGGCCTGTCGCAACGACGATGCCATCTCCCGGTCCATGTCCGTGTTCGACACAGCGTTCTGACCATATCCCACGGACAAGGGCGATGAGTATACGGTGCCCCGGCGGCGTCGCCATCAGCAGCCGGCACAGCAGCAGCGTCAGCAACATGTGCAACATCAGCATCAGGAGCCAGAGAAACGTAAGTCCAACCACAAGACGAAGAACAAGCAACAGCAAAAACAGCAACAGCAACCACATAGCACTAGACATCAAAACTGTTGTCATATAATCGACATGGATGGCGATAGCACCACAAGCACCACCACCGCCTCGGCGGCCACTGGAACCACACTCAATTGCAATGTCCTAAATGCTTACGGTGAGGAGGAGGAGGACGAGGATGATGAGGTAGAAGACGAGGAGGACTCCGAGGACGAGGGGGAGTACAGATCGTTTGTCTGTCGGCACTGTCAAAGGCCACAGTCGGTGGTACAACAGCCAAGGTCTGGCCGTCGATCGCAATCCCAGTCCAAGTCGCGCAAGCGCAGCAAGAGCAGGAAACGCCATCAGAACAAACAGGGCCATCATGGCCATCATGGCCAACAGGGTCAGCAGCTGACCCGGTGGCCGGAAATCAATGTGGCCAACGAGCAGGCCATCCGTTTCCGGTGTCCGCAGGTGGGGCCGCAGGTGGGTCGCGACCTTCACACCCCCCAGCCCATGCACTTCCACCATCCCCAGTCGCAGAGCCAGAAGGCCAAGAACAAGTCCCGGTCTCGGAAGCCCCGTTCATCTGCAGCCGTACATCCATCTGCAGCACCACCTGCACCACCAGCGCCAACCGCAGAGGCGTCAATACCGCCCTCCGAACTTCCCCTACCGCCCCTAAATGTGATTGTGGGCGGGGCCGAGGTCGAGGTCGATCCACAGCAGCCACCGCCGCCCACCACGCCCGACTCGCCGTCACTGGTCACCGTGAGCACCTGGTACACGGTGGCCAAGCAGGGTGTCTCCTGCTAATCGCGGTGAGCAGTGAGTATCCTTGCCAGCACCACCCAGCCACATTGCACCACCCAAGTTAAAGAATCCCCTTAAAAAAGAATATCTATAAGGGAATGCCACTAATATCTGGAGATGCTTAGAACTACTTATCCGGCATTTATCGGTAGGGCTTTCGGAATCCAAAGTTATTGTTGCCTACTTTTTAGCGACTCTGTAAATGATTTTAGGACATAGAGTTGAGAGAAGCAAAGACATCGATAGTCGATTGTTTAAAACCAACTTTTCAGTCTTGACTTGCAATGTTTCACGTTTCAGTTCTTGCGTTTTAGTTTTACATTTTTTTTTTATATAGGGTGGCCCACGAAAGATTTGCGTGTTTAAATCGCTATAAAAATGTCAATATTTCCCATTTTTTTTCGAACGTAAACTTAAACATTTTGTAACACGCAAACCTTCTACTAAATATCTGGCATATTGACAAAGACATTTAAAATGTCAAAGTTAACGATAGTTCAAAAAGCAAAAGCTACATGGGCCACTCATATTTTAAAAATTTTACAATAAAGTTTTAGAGAAAAAAAAACATAGAAATTCTCGAAATCTTTACATCTATTGAAATTTGAAGTTGACTCAAAATTAAGATCATAAATATTGGAAATATCGAAAACCTATCGATTGTTTTTGCAGCTTCGCCAGAGATGTTTGTGGCATCCCTTATAGCTACCCCTTCCCGATTCGGTGTTTGAATATATGTATACAATATATATATTTTGTGCTTACATAAATTATATGTGTGTGTTCCAGGGTGGATCTCTGAAAAATAAAATTGGGAAATATCAAATATTAATTAATTAATTTAATCTTTTTTTTAATAGTTTTAATACAAAAATAAGTTGCCTTTCAACTTGTTTTTATTTTAAAGTATAACTTAAGTTAGTTATTTTGAAAGTTAAATGTTAAAAATTAACTAAAATTCATTCAAGATTTAAGTTTTTTATGTTTTTATAAATTACAAATTAATTTTAAATCAAAAATTGTAAATAAATTTATTTGGGCAACTTAAATCACTTTTTAAAAATATGCAAAAAAAAAACGTAAAACCAAAACCGAGATCCACTCTACTGTCTATGTGCATTAAGTTACCGATTTGCCCTATTATTTGTACTATATAATTAGCTAAATGAAGTTTACAAGAATCAGAAACGTGTTCTCTGTGTGTATCGATGTTGATGTTGCAAACTGTCAAATGTGTTATAGTCTTAAAGTACATATAAATCTCTAGAGAATGTAAGTGAAAATGAACCAAAAAACGAAAATATATGAAAAGCATAAAAAAACGTTTAACTTATGTTTCCTTAAACTGTATCATTTTGTGCCCCGAAAGGTCTTCTTAGAAATGTTGTTAGATGTCCTAGAATTACACAAAAAATTGACGTTAGCTGTGATGGTAAAAAAAAAACAAAGTAAATTAAACCACAAAAAGGATAACTTTAATGTTAATGTTGTAAAGAAAGAAAGGAAAACCCAAAATGGTGGAAGGATATTGCTCAAAGGAAACTGTACATTAAGCTGGAAGTGTGTGGGTGTGCGTGTGTGAGTGTGTGTGTGTGTGCAGTTGGGAGATTCAGAGAGAAAGATTTTTTTAACCAAAACAATTTTCCATTTATTTAAAAAGCTTTAAACGTTACGTTGATTAAATTTTGTAAAAATAATCCGAAATCATATTGAATGAAATAAATATGCAGATTAATGAACAGTCAGTCGAATTTCAGAGCATAAAATATTTTGCTTTTATAAGTGGAAAAAAACCAAACGTTGTCATTGAAATGCAAATTGAATACCGAATTGGCCTATAAAGCAAAAAAACATGGCGACAAATAAACAAATTGTAAGGTTTTGTTTTTAATTGAAGGCAGCTTTCTACTTTATTGGTTAAATGTAAATGTGAAAGGTTGCCGATGCCGATGCTGCTGCTGCTGCTGCTGCTGCTGCTGCTGCTGGCATTAAATTCCATTCGATTTGCATTATATTTCCTATAGAATTTTGCTGTTCTTCAAACTGCTGTGAACTTTGCTGAGCGTTAACTTTTTTGCTAACTGTTATTGCTTGACATGCTTTTGTTGTTGTTTTGTCATTGTGCCACATTGGACACACCAAGGAGACACACACAGACTAACACACACACACACACACACACACACACATACATACTCAGACGACACAAAATAAACAAGGATGCAAACGCATGGGAATTGAAATTCGTGTATGGCAATTAAAATATCTGCTTTCTTTCTCTCTCTCTCTCTCTTTTCTCTCTCTTTTTCTTTCTCTCTCTCTCTCTTTCTCTTTCTCTCTTTCATCTTTCCCTGAACACAAACACCAACACACCAACACACACACATGCAACCGCTTAAATAAACACCCACACACGTGCAGAAATTTGCATAGAAACTAAATGAAAATGCGTAGCGAGAAAGACAACGCGAATCTGCCAAAATAAAAATCTAGGTACCGCATAACCATAAATATGCAATTATGAATGTGTTTGTGCAACTGTAAAAATAACCAAAAATGTGAGCAAAATGTACGGAAAATATATTGGAAAGGCCAACGATAGCTCGAAAGCATTCGATTTTATTGTCATAATTGGCTGGGTTTGCATTTAACAGAAGAAAAAAGAAAAAAACAAAAATAAAGCTGAAGAGCAGCTCTCAAGTGTAAGTAAATTTGTGGCAACGGAAGTGTCACTGCTTGCCCTTGGAAAACAAAGTAAAAAAGAACAAAATGACAGTGTGTGAGTACAAGCACACACACACACAAACACACACTTACTTAGACAGCCCCAATTGAAAATTGAAAATGTACGAAACGAAAGCTTTACACAATGAAACTAAAACTAAAACTAAAAACTGAAACTAAAACTAAAAAACTTAAACTAAAACTAAAAAACTAAAACTTAAACTTAAACTAAAAACTAAAAACTAATAACTTAAAACCTACTCTTAACGATTTAATGAGAAAACATATATAGAGAGAAATGAAAATTAAACAGAAACTATATTTATACGAATGGGAAATAGCAAGGAAAAATCCTAATTACGAGTACATTTAATTGGAAACAGTTTGACTTTCTATTTGAAAAATATGTAAACAAAGGAGACACACACACACAAACACACACACACATACACACACAACTGTAGGTAAATAAATGTGTAAATCAAAATAATAGCCACGAAAAGGAGAAGGAGAATTGCTCCTCGGGGCGTATGCGTAATGTTGAGTGTATTGTTTCTGCTCATTGTTGTTGATGGATACATACATACATCTCTCTGCATTCTCCATTCTGCATTAGCAAATTAATGACAATGATGGAATATCATCAAGTCGACCGGCTATATACATAAGTGTGTGTGTGTACTATGGCGTGTGTGGCTGTTGTGCGTGCCTGCCTGGGAGTGTGTGTGCAAGCCAAAATCAAATAAAAACAATGTTTGAATCAGAAATTGGACCACAGCAAACAAAGAAGTAGCATAAACCGATATCCGCTGTATATGCATATTATATATATTTACATATATAGAAACAGAAATATATATATATATATATACAAGGCATACAGTATTCATCAAGTGCATAGGTGTGTAATTGTAATTTTTTGTAGCTAGAACTAAGTGACACAACGCAGAGAAACCGAAAGTGAAAAACTATTAGAAATAGCAAAAAGATAAATAATGATAACTCAAACATCTCGTTGTACATAGTTAGTGAGTGGTTTTCTTTGCCGTTAAACCAACTACAAATCTTTCTCTCTAAACTCAAAGTAATTGTTGCATTTTTAACAAAAAAAAAAACAAAAGAAAAACAAAACAAAAGAAACCCCCTACATAGCTGTGTACTTAGCTGTAGTCTTCCAGAAGTAACCGAAAAAAGTGAACCATCAACGACGACGAAGAATACTCTATATTCCACTTAGATTGAACCTGTAGCAAATTTGTACCTTAGCCGAAACACCCACAAAAAGCTTTCAAAACAAACAATAAAAACTTCTTCTTATAATAGACGAAAAACCGAGTCCAATAAAGTTTAAAACTAAAAAACTAAAAACCAAACCCTATATATACAAAGATATTGCTGTCGCTCTGTCGGAGAACAAGAAGAAGATGAACTGTATTATTTTTGGATAAATGTTATTGATTTTTCTCTCTGCCCCACACTTCCAAAGGTTATTCAATGTTAGATCCTTCGAACTATTGGTTTCCCAAAATGCATATGTATGTGTAGTATAAACGTTTCGATCTGATCCTGGGCACGACAATATCGTTAAAGAAGCCACAACAGTGCTATATAACATATATATTGATATATAGAATATACCCATTTATCCCACCCCAGACACACAGTACACAACCCTCTCTCTGAATCTCTCTCGCTCTCTCTAACTCTAACTCTCTACTCTAACTATCTGTAGGAAGCCAATTCTTTCTATCTCTACTCCACTCTCTACTTATCTGTGTGTGAATTAGCAATCAAATACTAATGCAAAATCTTTTTTCAAAAACAAAGTGTCAAATTTTCAAACAGAAAAACCAAAAACGAAAGAAAACCAAACCACATGGCAAATATTGATATGACAAAAAGCGAAAACAAAAACCAAAAAACGAAAACGAAAGAAATTTATTGATAAATTGGAGGATTGCCAACCTAGTTGCAAGTATTTTCCAGGCCTAAGCCTTAATGATTAGTGAAATGCAACCGAAATATATGCATATAGAGTGTGTGTTTTCTCCTAATTTCTAAGCTGTTGAAATCAAATTTTACCAATGCAAAGTAAGTATTAAACGAAAAAGTATTGACAAACCAAAACTCTCGTTTTAGAGAAACACTTCAACTTTTTCAGTTCTTAAATGTAAAAACTGTATTAGCCAATTTATTTGTGAGCAAAACTAGGTGTTAAAAATATAAGAAAAGAAATAAGAAAAACAACAAAGAAAAACAACAAGAAAAATCAAGAAAAAGAAAACCAAAAACAAAGATCAGAAAATACATGTCATAGCATAGGCCTAAGGGCGACATTTATTGAGGGACTCCACGAAGGCCACGAAGGACTATTACTATATATCAAAATCCAAAAAACAAAAAAAAAACACAAACACAAACCGAATTGTTATCGGACGAACGACGAATGTTTTTCAGCCACTAACGAGAGATTTTTCCAGTGTTATCAATCGTTTGGTCTACAATCTTCTGGGCCCAAAAGCGATTGAGCCACGTTATAAACCCAATTACAAATTGATCAACTTGAGAGTATATATACAAAGAATATATATATATATATATATATACCCATGTACTAGTTCGTAAACCTAGCTGATCTTTTTTGGTGTAAATTTTAAATGATAAAACCAAAAACGAACAAACTTTCCATGCAATAAAAACAAAAAACAAAAAAATTGTTTCAAAACTACAACCGAAATGTCGTTTATATGCGGAAAAACTGCATGAACCAAAAAAAAATTAAAATTAACAAAAAAAAAAAACAAGAAAAACAAATCGAAAATGTGCATGAAAAACAAACCACTTAATTAAAAGAACAAATATTTTTTTTGTGAAGTTAAAATATGTATAAAACTAAAAGGTATAAAGAAAAATAAAAAACCAAAAAGGAAATATAAAGGAAAAGTGTGGGTTTTCATGGGAAAAGTAAAAGGGAATTTTTGGAAATTTTTCCTTAGTAATTAATCATAAAAGCGTTTAGTGAAAAATTCTCAAAATTTTATCAAAGAACACTCCTCCTGCTTCTGCTGACTTATGGCTTTTAGCTCCTTTCGGACAAGGTTAAGTGGAAAAGTTGGCCGATGCATGCAAAATGCAGCCAAGCGGCTAATGGAATCGTAGGAAGCGCATTTGTATGCCGATCAGAGCGGCAAATTAATACGGAATTAGCTGGTTATGCTCGGACGTAAGCACATATGTTGAACTCCCAGGATCGAAGTCCCTCTGACCGGCCACGTTCTGCAATTATAATGCGGTTACGGCTACGGGCACGCACAAGGAAACCCACTTAATTGTTACACCAAAAACAAAAAAAAGAAAACTATAATAAAAACAAAAAAAAAGAAAGAGCAACGGAAATTGGCCAAGGGCTGTGGACATACATGGTAATCGTTAATTAAATCACGTTGTACCGGAAATGAAGTTATTGACAGGAGCATAGAGTATGGAGTATGGAGTATGGAGTATGGGACGTGGTGTAATTGGCCTAGCCAGGGTATATCGTATCGCCTTCATGTTCCATTAAGGACCCACCTCGGCGGGTGCAATTTCGCGGACAAACGCAACTTTTCAATTTGTTTCAATGCCAAAACGTTGGACGCACAGTCCTGGCCACAAATACCAAATGGCCAGCCGCACACGTACATGGCCCTGGCCACATTTGACCAATGCCCGTTGGCCTAGTTGCCTGCTAGCCTGCTAGCCTGCTTGCCTGCTTGCCTGCTTGCCTGGTCCACTCGGTTTTTCCATGTTTTCCTGTTCTCCACCTACTCTTCTCCTTTTTCTCGTTGTTTTTTGTTTTTCTTTTTCCTTGTCCAAAAAAGGAGTTGGCCGGAATCGTGACAGCGACAGAATGTCGAACACTGTGGCTTGGGATTGTTCTTGGAGTTTCGAGAAAATAGATTAAACTTTGTTGGGGTTTACTTTTAAGTACTAGTTACTAGGTAATCACCTCAACTAACTTTTACTTAGTACAGCTCTATGACTTAATCATCTATCAGTCACTTTCGCATTGAGTTTTAGCTTAGCCAAAAAAGCCAAAAGTAATACCAAAATACTAACCAAGACATATGTTCCATGTTAATCCTTGCCAAGCACTTATCTAGAGTCAAGAGGAAGTGGCTCAAATTCTCGGGCAGATTACATGGAAGTTAGCACGACATTGGCATTAAGTTGCTGCCCCTCTTCTTCGGCTGCCATCGATAGAGACGGGTTTTGGGTGGTTTTCGAGTTGAGTTAACAGTAAAACCATTTATGCCTTTGTTGTCATCAATTGGCCCATCCGCTTTTGGGCCAAACTGCGCATAAATATTTACGGGATTATCCAGACTGTTGGCACAGACATTGATGGCGATTAAACTGGATTGCCATAACAAGTTGGCTAAGCCAATCGAAGGACCCAGCATCCTTGTCCAGGTGCCTCTCATTGCGAGGCAAATGCATGCCTTGAAGGGGGGCCCAAAAAGCGCAATAAAGCCATTTGGACAGTCATAAATGCAGTTTGGTTTTGTGCAACGCAATATTCATGGCTCTGGCCAGTTGATAATCAATCGATAAAGGCCATCGCAGGACTAGCATTAAGTCAGGGGTATCCTGTCCGACGATTTATTAAAAAAGACCACCCCAATATCAGCAAAGGATAATCGCATTCGGTGACAGTTGCCAGGAAAAGATTTCATAAGTTTTTATGTCTTCATTTTTTGTGTGTGTGTGTGTGGGGGGGTCAGAAAATCACAGCCGTAGACAGATGAAAATGTCTCTATCGAAGGACGCACACACACACTCCCACAACACACACCCACACACACTCAGAAAGAGAGTCATAACAATTAATAACGTTTATTGGAAATTGCCAGCATCATGGCCTATAGTTATTGCTAACATGAAACTCTGTCGTAAGTGGTAAATATTTTACTTAAATTTTTTAAATTAATTTTTATTTTATAAAAGATTTTCTTTTCAATTTTCTAAGAAGTACATTTGGTACTGGTTATTTGTTAATAAATTACTTAGATTAATAAAATAAATCTTGTTAATTTTTAACCTTTAATAAAACTCAAATTTTTGCTCACTAAATCATAAACTAAGTAACTGAACCTTAACTAAGCTTTCTCATTATCTTTTTTATACATTTTCCCAGTTATTTCTCTCACTGCAGCCTTGCCCCTTTTTGGACATCAGCACTGGCGTGTCAGTTGAGTTGCCGTAATAAATACGGACATAACGACGGCATCCGTACAGCAAAAACACGAACACGAACTATGACCAGGCCATAAACCAGGACACATTAATGCCTCAGAATGCCGACATAAATGTGACACAAATGTCACACACACACACTTATTGATTCTGGCGGTGGGTTTCCAAGGATTCGAAGGATTCAGTGGGATATTCGGGGTACTAGAGGAGGCGTGATGAAGTTGAGCAAACCACTTACATCTCGAGTCAACTTAAGACCAAGACGAAAGGCCCAAATTGAAAGGCCGTAACCGAAAACCGAAAAACCAAAACTGTAATCGAAGATTCTCAGATGCGGGTGGGTGAAAGTTCCAAGGAGAAAGGCTGAAAAGGAGCTGTACAGACACACACACAGAGGAATCCAGAGGAATGTCTGAGTGTGTGTGGCTGGCCGTTTAAGGGGATCCTTTGAAAACAAGTCCTTTAATTGGTACTCGGCCAGCACTCAATACTCAACTTTAATTGTCGTCTCTAATTATCCTTCACCACACATTGCTTTGTGGCTCAAGGCCTAAGTTTGTCTAACTAAACTAAATATATATTACTGGGAAATACTTTAAAACTGCAGTTTAGAGATTAAAATATTTTTGATTTAATGGAATTTTCAATTCAATGCACACCATTAACTTTTAATTAGGCTTTCGTTGGGCATTTGGGATTTGTTTAAATCGCTGACCAAATTGAAATTCCAAAACTGTTTTGCTTATGGAACTTAATTGATTATATTTATGACTTTTTGCCAACTAAAGATAATCGCTAAATGAAACCGAGAAAGTGTTGTTCTTACTTTAGCCAAGTATTAATTTTCCTACTTAACTGCTTCTGGGAATTTCGAAATCTCTAGGGAATCTCCTACTCTCTCTCTCTCATCAAGTTGACAACTTTCACTTCTTTCCTCTCTTCTTGCAGCTTAGTTTCAACTTTCTTTTTCAAGTTGCCTTCTTCTTTATTTTGCTTTTGGTTTTAATCACTTAATAAAAAGCGCGCAAAACATCATCAACGGCGAATTCCTTTCGGGTTTTCTCCTTGGCATTCTACGGGCTTTTGTTTACGGGTGGAAAAGCGAGAAAAGCGAGAAAAGCGCCAGCTTTGTCGGAAGATGGCAACGCTCACCAACAATTAAGTCGCATTTGTAGTAAACTTTTGGATTACGAAAATATGTTAAGACTTTTGTTAAACTTGTCCGGTTGCAGGAAACTTTCTACACACACCCCCCTCCGCTCCCAGGACACGCCTCCTCCTTTATCCTAGCTGCTAATTTGTTAGCTTTACAGTTGCAGCTCCGCCCCAGTCAGCCTTCTCATCGTCTACTGGCTCCACCCTTTGCCTTGCCCTCAATAAAGTTTTACATATGAATTTAGCGAGACATTTTCCACTACAGAGGGAAATGTAAAAGGAAAATTCATTTTCCCTAAGCCTATTAAGAGAAAGTAAAACTTAGATTAGGATAGGAGACCGTTCAAAGTAAGAAAATTGCATTAACAAAGTTAAAAAATATGAAATTTTAACATATTAAAAGGAAAATGTATTTCATTTTCTCTCCCATTTTAGTCTTAGAATTTTTCTCTCTGTGCATTAACACACATTGGCAGGACACGCAGGACACGCAGGACACTGAGTCAACATTTATGACATTTCTTGTGGCTGCCTTTGGGACACGAGTCCTTCCACCCAGCCAGCCACCTCCTCTTGGACTTTCCTTTCTCCCTTTTTCGCCAACTTTTCAATTGCATTTCAACTTTGTCTATTGTCTGCCACTGGAATGTTGCCACCTCTTGCTTGCCTTCTTTCATTTTTATTTTATTTTTTCCCTTCTAATTTACCTTCCCTTTGTTCTTTACTCCTCTCTCTTTTTGTGCTTTTCTGCTTTTTATGATTATTAAAACCCGCATGTGTGTTTGTGTTTTTGGTGGAAAATGGAAAGTGGGTGGTGTAGCTAAGTTGTTAGCCAGTTGCTGCTTATTTTGTTTTTATTGCCCGAAAGGCAAATGCCATAAAATCCCATGGGGCACAGAAAGTGCCACAATGTTGCACGAGTTCTGGTCTCTAAATTTGATATTTATTGCAAATTAGTTTATGTATATGTGTGGGGGGGAGGGGGTGCCTTCACTTCACTCTCTACTCCCTTCCACTCCCCTCTACTTAACCCACAACAAATCATCATTCTCGAATCGTTTGACATGTGAAATGGCATGAAAGGGCGGCCCTCGAAGTTACCCCATTGCCAAGGTCATTGCATTTACATAGGATTGCTAGGAAAATGGGGGATAAGTATAAGGTTTTTAGATCCTTAAATGGTCAGGTTAGTCCAGCAAAAAAGTATCTATTAACATAATAATATAGGTAAAAGGAAAAATAACTCTAAGTATCAACACTTCCTAACTTCATTTAATCATATTTTTTACCTTCACAAAAAGCTGTCTTTTTGCTTGATTAAATTCAATTTCCCTTTCTCTCTTCAGAACTAGAATTTATTGTTAAATCTGGCATGCATGCCAGGGCATGTCCTGGTCATCAACAGAGTCCTTTAATTCCATTCTAGGATTCCCGTTTTAAGCTTT